TGTGGTGTCTCTCCGAACTTTTGAAACTGGAGAGCTTGGAGAAGCAGAAACCACCATAGGATCGTCCCAAGGCGCTGGGGCAGCGCCCCATGGATCAGGTGTGTCCCACGAATCCTGTGGCCGACCGTATCGAGAGTAGTGTTCTGGACTTGGTGAACGACTGTAATACGGATCAGCTTCTTCAGGCCGATAGTTGTTAGACCTGTGGCTGTCTTCTTGAGAGTAATACCCATCGTAGGAAGAGTACCGTCGACTGGGCGATGGTGGACGTCGATCGTAGTAAGGCTCTCGCTGTGAAGGGTTAGCTTTGTTCGGAATAAAAGAAAGTCAAACTCACATCTGGCCACACTAAAATTGATCCAGAGGGCCGCCAAGAGTCGCCATGCCCATACGATGCAGGTGGATGCAGGCCGTCGTAGCCCCCGGATGACATCCAGAGGAAATTGGAAGCGAAAGTCTAGACTTGAAATATTCAGACAATAAGACTAGTAATTAATGATGCCAGTTATAGTGAAATAAAGCTCAAAGGGCGTTGGCGCTGGTACAGCAGTGTTGGAGGAAAGGGATAAACAGAACGTCGGATCCGGAGGCGAGCGAGTTCGATGAGCAGCCACAGCTCAAGTTTGCATCTGTTGATTTTAGACGGGATCACGCTGATTATCACACGACGTGACAACTTAGGATTTCCAGATGTCACAATATGTCACGGCATGGCTACAGAATCTCCTCCCGTTCACGATCCTTCAAAATTATTCTTCCAGACTGACTATGTTCGACGATCAATAATAGCCTCATACTGGGTTATCATCATCTTAGCGTTGCCACTATGGTGGCGCACGACAAGCATTGAACGACTTTCATTACCTTCTTCTCGTGTCGTTGAGCAGGCTCGTCACAACCTGCATATTCCTGTCAGAGTCGGGCTGCCAAGTGGCTCAGATTATGCGCGTTTGCAGAATACTCTCGATTCAATGACTCAAGAGGCACCCGAACGCTGGGAGGGGTTGAGCATACAAATTCACGAGAGAGATACAAGTGCGTTCCTTGGATTACTCCCGTTCTGCCCTCTTTAATGGGTTCCAGATGATGCTGGCAGTAGGGGAAGCCGCAGTTCCCAGTTCTGGGCAAACCCTGACGTCGATGGGTCATACACTGTCCGTAACAGCTCAGAGATTAGAGTTCACGGGAGACATTTAGCATTTCCAATTGTGAGTGACTAGAGCAAATGACGCGTCAACGTTTTTTAACATATATTTCAAGGATCACGTACAATCTCTGGCGACTGCTCTTAGCGCCCTCATTACGCCGTCCATACCCAACCACAGAGTTGCTCAATATTCACCCCGATACCGACTATCATTCACTCTACTCAACGAAGACGCGTCCGCTGGCAACGCTTTCCATGACTGGGATATCGCGACTGCTATTTCCCGTAAGTCATATCATACTGAATTGCAAACTGCATGGGTCCTGACCAAGGCTAGAACACATCAAGCCTGTCCTGACACGACTCAAAGCACTACACAACTTTACTATCGAGAGCCAAGTTCAACTCCACGCCCCATTGGCATTCACACCCCGCCCAATTGACAATATTTTTGGTGTGGCTGCAGAAGACCTTACCGTGTTCGTCAACTCGGCGGAATGGACTTTGTGTCAGTGCATCTTCCTACTTTATCAGCTTGTATTGACGAAGGCCTCAGCTTCGAGTGCTTCAAATGATCCTGTCTTGCACTTTGTAATATTCGTTCCATCCGCGGATCGACGGCCCCTCCATATTCTAGACCAAACCGGTGCGGACTTACTTTTTTATGTCTAATTTTATTTGAGCTAAGTATATTCTGCAGGCGCCATATCCCCCTCTACTTCCTTCCTCCTACCACAATGGGGTGGAATAGTGATTTTAAACCCCGATGAATCGTCACCAGAAACACGACTAGCATTACCAGCCCTCGATACCGTCTTTTCGGCTTTCTCGGAACACCTCCTTTCCCTGCTCGGGGTGCCCAACCTACCTCCGAATGTCGCTCAAGCCTCAAGCAGCCTAACAGACTGGCAAATTGATGCTCTGCTTCGCTATCGCACCCTCAGCAACTCAAAAGGATCTCAGGACACTCTACGAAGTATCGTGAGCCTCGTAGATCAAATTGAGAACATGCCTGTTGGACAGGATGTCAGAGGTGACGTCCAGGGAGCTTTGAATGCCCTCGAAGAGGTATTTATCTAAACTATTCGCAAGGCATATCATATGCTCATCGTATTCCCAGATGTTCGCGTCATCCAAGGCGTCGCTAGTAGACACATTCCACCAGTCCACTCGTGCGTTTACCCTCTCTTCGCGTGCATTCTTCAACCCAGGAATGCTGGCCCTGCTCTACTTCCCTGCGGAGCACAAATATGCCGTGTATACGCCGATGTTCGCGAGCGCAGTCATACCACTCGTCGTCGCTGCTCTCAAAGAACTGGCGTCCTGGCGGCGGCAAAGGAGGACAAACACGTTAAAGAAGAATATACCAGAAGGGACTGTTGCTGTTGTGCAGACAACGTAGACAGAGTAGGATGGGTTTTACACTAATCGTGTATCTATCGACCGGAGGCATTGTTATAATTCAGAGTGAGAGCGGCCTGCGTTAACTTGAAACTGCACGCGCGGTGTAACTGCGTAACAACACGAAGACCGCTCCGCAGTACTTATGTGTTTACTGGTGCCACGGCCCCCTCCATGGCCCTCGTACCTTTGATCCGTCTTGTCTCGGCAACCTGAGAAAAGCTTTTCACGTGAGGCACACCGGAGGCATTGGCTTGTTCAGCAGGGTTGTGGCGTAAACATATTAAAGTGATCGCTGTCTCGTCCACGATATATCCGGCCGACATACATACGCTCACTCGAAACCGAGGCTCTAGATCCACCTGCGTCGGACGGCCTGAAAAGAGACAAGTGGCCGATTTCACCGGAGGAGCTGGACGTCAGTCATTGCCCGAACCCCGAGACACAAAGAAAAGGTGAGCCCGCATCCTGCTATGTTGGGTGTGTCATATAGATTACGGGATACTCAGGCCCAGGTATTGCGTACTGCCTTTCACCGTCCATTTCGGGCATTGCTACATAAGAAATCGTGCAGTCAGCACCGCCCGCGGCCGCTGAATGCGTGAGCTGACTGGCAGCGCGCGGCGATGTCCAAAGCTTTGCGATCTTCGTGGCAATGATTTCTTCGTATATGACCCTCATCTCGCGTCCGAAATTACCCCATCTCGATCGCGCGCAGCTCCGGGGGAGGATGTGCAACCTTCATTCGATCTCGGGCAGACTGGGCAAATCGGCGAACTTCGAACTTGCCCTGCCCTCCTCACAAGATACCCACCCGTCTCCGGAGGAACATGCCTCCGACTCAGACGATCTTCAACCTCTGCCTCATGTGCGACGCGGACTCAGTTTTCTAAGACTATATGCGGTAAACCCTTGAATCGGTGACTCATCGACATTTGTGTTCCTCACACCGAAGACTGCGCAAGTTTGATCCGTTGAATTCTCAATGTCGTCAAACCCGGGCCACTATCGCAACGTGCTAGCTAGAGGTTGCATGTCATCACTCGATACCTCTCGTTATTCGACAAGTACTGGAATTCTATGTATATGCCTCGCAACAGTGCGACTCAAAGTCTCTGACAAGTTAGGCTGTGACTCAGGCATGTGCGTGGATGGATGAGAGTTAAGGAGGTGTTTCAAGTTCTTTCGGAGTCTCGAATTCGATATTTGCGGTAGCTCCAACGGTGTCTAAGGAATTTCAAATTGATCTAGGAAGCAGGTTGTATTTTGCTACACCCTGAAAGTCTTTGCGCCACTCCCATGTCTGTTGCGCTCCAGAGAAACTACAACAGCGCCCAGCGACGGCTGATTCGCGTCCTATCTGACGTCAGCTACTACTAGATATTTCCCCGTAGAGTATAGGGGCTCGTGAACATCGATAGCGGCCCTCCTCAACGTGTTCCCGTTGCATCCGGGTTGTACTAGATTAGTAAGCATCGGATTGTTTTTCCTGGCCCTTGGCCGCAATCTACTTTATCACGCCTGAGTTGGAACGTCGAGAATCTCTCCACCACCTAGGAGCGATCAGGTGAAGCACTAATCGTCTCCTGTCACTTCGATGTTATTGAACACTATAGTGGATTAGTAATAGTGAGAAGAGGGGTATAACCAGGTGTGGTGGCGGCAATATATCTAGTTCTAGTACATTACGGCAAACTAATTGATATTTCACGTCTAGTACGATCAGGTATAAATAGCTTACATGCAGGCCCAGTGCATGCTCAAACGCGCCGAGTTTGACCGAGCAAGCAGTTCCGGTAGTCGAAAGCTCTCAGAAGGCACAATAACATGACTGACCTGACCTAGGCTTGCGCCCAGTTGTCAATTGAATCCTGAAACCACAACGACATCCACGGAGCACGCCCGGCGTGCATGTGATACGGCCAGGTACATGGTCCATCGCTGGCTGGTCACCGTCACCAGTGGAATCTGAAGCATGCTGTTGAGATGTATGTACCTGTTGGGTATGTTTCCGTCAACCTCTATCCATTTGTCTGACATGATACATCACCTGCAAGCAACCTGACAAGCGGCCCCGAGTCGATGATACGATGTCAGGGTCCAACTTTAGAGACTAGAATATATCAGTGACGGTGACATGCCGTTTGTTGGCCCGTGGCGATTAGTCACATCAGAGTATAAACCGACAAAGAAACTCGCGTACGAGAGATCTGTCCACGCCCACTCTTGGCATGGTACGGCGTGTGATCCAGCGGATATTAAGAGAGATATTTCAAACTAGTGTATGGTGGTGGACAGCTGGCAGTTGACTCTGCATAGGTTTACGAAACTCCACGTGTAGTAAGTACTGACGACTTTTTCGAGATACCTTGGGGTTCATCCTCCAGGCCAGTGGCGCAATCGTCCCTTCCCCCACCCCGACATGTTCTCCCCACCTTTATCCATAATAACTGCCCGTTTAGCTCAGTGGTAGAGCGCGCCACTCGTACCGTCGGGTCGATGGTGAGGTCAATCGTTCAATCCGGTTAGTGGGCAATCCTTTTGACAAATGATCGCAAAGGTTGGAACCATCAATTTTGAATTTTGAATACCCGCAAGCCAATTATCCGAAAGGCGAGGTTGAAGCCGCCGAGAAGAAATAGTGGAGGAGGAGAGGAGAGGGGACGAGGCGAGACGGATGTCTTTTGCAGGTGCTGGAATTACGAAAGTTCTGCGCAGTTGTATGGTCGTGCGGAGAGCGGAGCACCGAAAAAGCGAACATCCTTTAATACACTCCTACAGTATCTTAGAGGTCAGTGCGTTGTTCCCTTGTGTGTTGTACGCTGATAGGCCTCAGATTTGTGGAATCCCATGCTTGATAGCAGCAACATTGATATAGATGGTGAGATGTCCTTGTTCTTAATAAGTACTCATTGGTGCAGATCAAGTTCGGACTCTGGTAGATGGATTGAACAACCATCCCATTGTAGGGCCGTCAACATTGTGAACTAAAGTGGAAGCTCAAGCAAGGCGTGCATGTATAGATGGCATCACTGCGCGAAGTTGGCGCGAAGTACTTACACTGCACGAAGAAGCCGTCAAGGCCGAAGCGTGGCACTGAGCCTAGCACGGTATTTTTGGGAAGGAACCATGTACTAGGCCTCTGCTGCGCTGTCTAAGGACGAAGATGAGATCGACCGAAGTACAAATGGAAACGCGGTTGTTGGGAACAGACGAATCGTTTTAGGTTTAGCAGCAACGGGACGTGATGCGAATAACCAACAGCGTTGCATTGGCGTTGCATGTCAGATCCCGCCATCTGGTGAATACACTTTGTCGAAGGAACTTGGACAGCTACGGACTCGCAGATAAGAGCATTCACTTCATATCAACAAATAGATTTGGTCTTACACTACTGTACGTCGGCCTCCTATGAATACAACGCACGCGGAAACCTATGAAATAAAGACCTTTCTGAGTGAAGTCGCAGGGCAGGTCAATCCAGATCGGGGACAAACAACCATCCCACCATTCTTCGCTGCCATATCATCGAGTGCCTGTGGCATATTGCCCGTCAACAAAGGTTTCGAGTTACCGAAAACGAGAACGTACTTCTTTGGAATACACGTTGCCATCGGGGAAGGCCATAGGAGGATTGTCTTCATCCATGATCTTCCCACTGATTCGACACACGATCGTAGAGTTCGCATGATGACTAAATGGCACCTCCTGGGCGAGCTGGCTCATCCCTAATCCATGTGGGCCAGATCCAACTTCGCCGTCACAGACGGGGCAATCCACGTTCTTGGTTGCAGAGTCATAACACACGGGCAATTTGAGCGACGCCAAGCCGGCGTACAGAGCGAGATGTAGCAGGGGCTCCGTGGGTAAGGTGTTGAGTGAATATATTGCCGTACGAAACGTATGAACGAGAGTATGCCACCGAGAAGGGTCGTACAGCCGCTGCAGAGGTATGACCAGGTCACAACTTATTTATGATCGCTTGGGGTAAGAGCATTGCGTACCTTATAGGGAGCACATGTAGTATTGTCAGGAAACGCCAATAATGCAGAGGCGGTGCGAATTTGTTGCAGGTGTGTCTCTTGCCAGGCAACGAGATGCTTCTGGGCATACGCAATAGCTTCTTGAGCTTTACGTGCTCTAGATAGCTCTATGAACTCCTGTAGCCGTAGGTCAAACTCAAGCGGGCTCTACAATAAGCGGTCAGTTATTTGCAGGTGTAGAAGGAGTCCCTATTGCACCTTTATCTTCCGCAGTGCGACCTTGTTCTCGTTGCACCACGTCAGTGCTTCTGTGCAGCTATGTCGCGACAGTGCCTCTTCTATACGGCATATGTCCGTGAAAAGGTCGATGTCCACAAGAGTCTGGTTGCAAGTCGCGTGACTCGCATATTCGAGAGGCTCGGTGACGACTTACCTCAATGCCCTTCTCCTCTGCTATCCTCCGAGCGGTCTTCTCCATGCCCGACCTAAGACACCAATCCACCAACCATCGATCAAGCCTCGTATCAGCCCATCTGCCATACTCAGAACCACCAGTAGCAGCCAGGGCTTCAATCAAGGTCAAGTGATTGATACGCTCCCGCATGACGTCCTGAGTCGGCTTTCCTGCCGTATCCTGGAGATCAGATAGCTGGCCACCGAAGGATAAGCCTCAATTTGGGAATCAAGCAGGATACACACCTTGCGCTTTAGGCTCTCCACCCTTCCAATCATACTCTCAATAGAGCTCAGAGCTTCGTCCTTCCCGAGTGTGCCCTTCGTTCCGCGTTTCGCTAGCTCTGCCGAGCTGCTTTGAACCGCTCCTAGATCCCGTTCAACATTCTTTTGAGAAGTACGGAAGACTTTCCGATAGTTCTCATATGGAACCTGGAGTAAAAGCCTAAGTAAGTCGGCCATTTGAGTAGAAATAGGGATATTTCACGGACGTACGCGAGCAAAGGGCTGTTCGAAGAGCAAGACCCCCTCAACATTCAATTTAGTGGCCATAGTGCGATTGTAGTCTCTTTGGCAGGCCTAATACTTTGGAGGGGTGGAGAAAGTTGTTTAGATCGTGCTTGCCAGTGGGCCCAAGGCACGTCGAGCGTCCGCTCTATCTTCCTGTCTGTGTCAAAGAAGTTGTTGGTGCGTGTCACTGGAAGAGGTGGCGTCGGCGGTACGGTCATCTATGAAAAATCACGTGAAACGGCAACTAAACGTCCTTGCAAGGTCGGCAAACTCGTTTCCTGGTTTCCATCGACAAACCTTCTTTTCTTGCGAGTCTGGTTTCTGGGCCTGCTTGTTGACTACATACAAGCTCACGGAGATCTAATCTATAGTCGCATCATGCCCCCGTCTTCTCGCCATCGTTATTCAGCAGAGAAGTTCTCCAATTCAAAGAGAACGCCGGCGTCATCACCGACAGTAACTTGGGCAGAACTTCCAGCATGGCAAAAAGACAATGGGTACATTCTGTCTGGCTATAGAAGGTGACATTGATAGTATTTTATTTTTATGATGTGACCAATCGGTTTTACAGGGTCCAGAATAGTTGGCGAGGATGCTTCAAATCCGTCTATGCATGTTGGTTGCTATTGAAATAGGATTATCCGCATAAAAAGCTAACACTTTTACCCACAAGACCTCCACAATGAAACGAGTTCGTGCCTGGTTTATGAACAGTAGCTCCTTTACGCGTCTCACCTACAATGTAGTCAATATTCACAGCCATCTTTGGGGCGCTGTTCTATTCATTTACCTCCTGCTAGACTTTAATGCCCACCAACGGCCAGGATTAACTTGGCCAGACACAGTTGTTTTCTCCGTTTTTCTTTCTTCCGCAGTGTTCTGTCTGTCTGCAAGCTCTTTCTACCACACAGTGACCTGCCATTCGGAGAAGGTACGAGTGACTCATGTAATCCTACCCCCTGTAACTTAATACTCACGTCTGCTTGCAGGTATCTTCCTCGTGTCATGCATTTGATTATTCTGGAATAATCATACTGACTGTGGGGTCTTTTTATCCATCACTTTACTACGGCTTTCATTGCGAGGCATACCTTCGAGTGTTTTACATGCTCTCCATTACAGCAGTTGGTTCAGGTAAGTGAATATGATCTTGATCAATATTACCTGAGAGCTTGATCTTGATGGCGCTCACTCACTTGTCGTAATTATCCAGGAGCTGCATACATCGTTCTTCACCCAGAATATGCCAAGCCGACCCACCGAGGAGCTCGAACATCGGTCTTCATAGGCCTGGGGGTATCCGCGGTCGTTCCAGTGTCCCACCTACTATCAACACATGGATCTGTGCAAACACTGGTCGATATGGGTTTTGGGTGGCTGCTTACCTCTGGTGGACTTTACATTACTGGCGCGTTGCTCTAGTACGTTGCCTTATTCTCACCTCATTGTTGCCCATACCTCCATCTCCGCTTTCTCATTTGGGCATGTACGGAATTCTAATTTTAACCACTTAAACTTTTTACAGTGCGAATCGCGTTCCAGAGCGCATAGCTCCAGGGCGATTTGATTATTTTCTTGCCTCCCACCAGATTTTCCATCTCTGCGTCGTGCTTGCAGCATTAGCGCATTACAAAGGGGCTTTGAAAGCCCTTGATTATCGGCTGTCACCGACTGTCCTATGTTAAACGTCTAGGCCGTCTGCCGTCGGCTCTACATCTACTGAACTACGTACTACTCTTCGTCGCAACGATGGAGCTCACACGACCATGCGCCGAGGTACGTGTATGTAGTCGTTCTGTTAAGGTATCTGATGTTGGACATTTTCTTGATCAGATATTCAGCCCTAACTAGGAGTATGTCAATTGCGGTGCTTAGCATTCCTTGTTTGCTAGAAAAAGACTTTTAAATGGGATCCTCGGTCGTCTCTGTCGTGTGGATCCTCGATCTCTTAAAGATGCATTCCAAGGACCTAGCCAACGTGATATTCTCGGAACCGTTATGGCGTATGATGCCCCTTTCGATGTGAAATGTTGGGCCGAAACATTACGGGTACGATCAGGTAACAGGCAGGCATCTGTCAGGATCTCACAGCTCCAGTGACAACAAGTTATAACTTATCACCGCGACAATTGCATGAGAAAAAATTGATGGAAGCCGAATGGCCGTGTGCCCAACTGGGCTGACAGAACACCTCAGACAAACCTCTATCGCCATCGCCGTCCATATGATCACGACAAACGCGAATCTAAACTCCCGCCCAAGAAGAACGGCAGTGATGGGATTGCAGGCAATCTGTCGTCATTAGAACCCCAGTTTCCACGAACCATCTGACAAGTAGTAATCCCGGGCAGAATTAGTGGTCAAATTTGTTTCTTGAAACAGAAATATGCTCAGTTCTATGCAGTGTGTAATAAGATCGAGGATTCGAGGGGCTGTAATGGCGTGACGGTTTTCCACGTGTGATCGTACGTTCCAGCCAGGTGGTCGCCGGCGTGACGGCGATACCCTTTCGGTCCCGGTCATACCTCGCAGTTGGATCATCCTCAAACTGCCACATTCAGATCTGGAAACGTTGCGTACCCTCGGGTC